GTAAGTGGCAGGACCGGATTCCGTGCACAGGGGGTGGGGTTTTGTGCCGCAGTAGTCAATTGGCCCTATGGCATTCAAACTTGGTAGGAGGCAATATGGGAACACTTATGGTGAGTAGTAGGGCCGGACTACGTCCCCAAGGAACAGGATTTCACTGAGATGGGAACACTGACAATAGAAGAGGCCTCAGAGAAGAAGATCCACACACGATATGTTTCATTCGACAAGAAGGTTAAGTTGTGTGATTATAAGGAGATGAATTTGGTTCACTTCTTGCTATTAGATTATGACCGCTACCCAGCAGAGTTTGCGATTAAGTAAAAGATCACGGTTTCTCTTTGCTTTGATATCATTCTTGGCAAAATTTATCCGACCGGTAATAATGTTGGATTCACATTCCATGATGTATGCGTAGAGGAAAGGAGGTACACCTTTGAAGACATTTGATAGTCTATACTCTCGCTCAGTGAAAAAGCAAAATAATATATTAAAAAGGGGGAATTTCATTAATTCGATATTTTTCGGGCAAAGTCCCTTTGTCCCAAGAATTAGGAGAGCCCTTGATGATGGCGTTGGGGAACATTGACGGCAGCTAACATAGTAGCCTCAGCCGCGATGAAGTCTCTGAATACTTTTTTCTCTGAATAATCGCCTTCGTGATATTAAACGATGTTCTTTCGGACACAGCGAGGCTGGCTTACAGAAAAAATCGCTCCCACTTCGGAGCTAATACTGACGGTGTAGAGCTTTCAAAGCAAAAGGAGGATCCAAAGAGTTATTTACGCATAGCGAATTTCTCACAGGAAGGAGGAGCGCCCGGCGTAGCCGGGCGATCCCATAAGAAGTAGGGAAGCCCGGCGTTAGCCGGGCGGCCCGACTGGTCTTTATGTATTGACTAGAGACTCCCAATTACCCAAGACTTCCATCACGGCACTTTGCATTCCTACAGGTACCGCGTGAACAGCCAAGCTTGAATTTGACTGTGAATGGTAGGAAAATCTTTAGTGCTGTCATGGACAACTATACCAGCGAGGACTGTGCTGCCGCATGTTCCAGGAATTGTCCTTCTCCAAACTCAAAAACGGCGTGCAGGGGCGATGCCTTTTCGTCTCTGTCAGTCCGATGACGTCGAGCTTATTGGGGGTTCTTCTGTTTCAGGAGAGTGAAGCACTTCTATTTTTGTTTTTGGCATACGGGCACCAACGAGTAGCCAAGCTCTGACGTTGGGACTGTGCAGACTAGCTAGACAGGCTATTCCAGAAAGGATGGAAAGCTTATCTATTTGAGGCGCTCTCGAATCGGTTCCTAATTACTTTGCCGTCGCTCGAATGCTACCTTTTGGCTGAGCCAGTGTCTGAATACCACCTGTATCCATAAACCCTCCACACACCTATGCATGGATACACAAAAACACATACAAATGCGAGGTGACAGAATGTATAATATAAATCAACCAGACACAACAGAAACAGAGTCCTTCCTTGAATTCAACGGTCTCTGGGTATGTACCGGTGACTTTCGATAATATGGTCACTCAAAGACCGCCTGAAGTAGCACCAAATGACCTCGTCACTGGCTGGTTAGAGGTCCTCGAAAGAGAGACAGTGCTAAGCGAGTTAGATCTGTGGAGGGGTTGGACATAAAGTAGTAAACACTTTGCAAATACGCATTTCAATCCTTGCTCTACCATAATTTTTTTCAGGGATACATCATTTCCCAATCATCGAGCCAGAAGTAGTACGAGTAGAGCTGGGTGATCCATACTCAAGGAATTGTACGCCACCAGTCAGCAATCCCAGTGCACGGTTTGTTACCACTTTTATTTACTCACTCGAAGTAAACTTCGGTGCGGTGATGTTGTAAATATGCACTTTTTGTTTTCACTTCTTGAAGCTTCGTTTGTATCGCATTGTTGATTATTTCTTATTTACATATGCACACGTCTCGAATTTCTAGTGTTTATTGGATCCTCAAAGGTGACGAAGGTACGGCTGTCACTTTCGAATCCATAAATAGCAGTCATATCTCAAGCAATGAGCAGGCGGGTCAATTAGTTTTTTTGTCGAAACCGACAATTATGTCTTGTGTTTCTGTTCTCGTTTCATTATGCGTTTTTTTCTTTTGCGCTTGGTTCGAAATGAATGGCATACTGAAAATCTACCCATTAACTTAGATGTCCCTATTTCTGTTCGAAAGCTTCTGCTCAACCCAGGCAGTTGTGAGATTTCGGTAAAGCTGTTAACAACACCATTCAAGAAGAAGCAATGCTTCTTCAAACTCTTGAAAACTGTTGTATTTACCAAGGAGTCAGGATTACGCACTACGACCAAATTATAAGCGTATTTTTTTGAATTCCACCTTCAGAAACCAGTTTGCAAGAGTTGTAATGCATTCCAAATGCAGACATACTTCGTATCCTACAATAATTGCAATGCATCATATTATCGTGTTTGGATACGTGGAAAAAGCACGTGTGGCATACAAAAAATTGGAGATTTGACAGGAGTTCTGCATTGTAGTAAACTGGATTTAAAGATTAGTGTTGATCAATCCCATTCTCGGAATGCGCCCCCGCATTCGGCTTCCATTCAGGATCGTAGTGGCTTTTGAATGCGTATATGGCCTGAAAATTGTCAGCCGTTGTACAGAACGGAGCTTTTATCCTCCCAAACGGGTCTGTTACCATCTGCCCCACTCAGGAAGGATGGCGAGCGTGGTTGGCCTTAGTAGGTATCGAACCAGGGTTCGAACCCCGAAACCATTGTTGCGTGATAGTGCTACTCTTGCCATTAAGTCATCTCCGCCCTTAATGTATAATAAAATGCACATTTAATGTTTTATCATCATGAATCGAATACTATCGAATGGGCGAACAGAATGTGAATCAGTTCGCCTGCGCGGGTTGGAATACTGCCTGATGATAGTTTACACTCAGCTTTATTCAATTGGATGGGGCTTTGAGGTGATATCGTAATGTAAGAAAAAGACGAAAACCAGACGTCATAAAAAGTGAGCGCAGTGGGGGCACTATAGTTTTGCTATTTTTCGGCAGTGAGTAGTTTTTGTGTCGTTGTATCCACTTTTTTGCCTCGCGTGGGCTCGAAACAATCGTTGTTTAGCTCTGCATACAGCTTCTGTTTTACGCTCTCAACAGGACTGAACTAATGGAGGGTTGGTAGAAAGTGAGTGGCTCAGCGACATTTGAGAAAGGTACCAAGGTCTGAATGGTATTCTTCAAATAGATGAGGGAAGAGCAAGTATGGGCTCCCTAGGTTTACGCAAATAACGTGAAATGAGCTGTGCTGCTTCTTTCTGATGACAACTTTAGCACTTATCGAATGAAATTGCAAATGCTCAGGCACCAGTTTGAGCCATTCTACTTCTTATGCGCTCTTCTCTTCATTGTTCTCACAATGAAGAATTAAATCAATTGTTTTGAGGCCTCCGCTCGTTGCGTTGAGGTTACACCTCGTAAAATCCACCGTGTTACATCCCTGTTTGTCTCTGAACCATTTCCCTTTTCTCTGTGTGCCCCCTTAATGCATTCTAGCGCGTGAAATGCCCTGTGCATTTCTTGTCACCCTGACCGAGTGCACGGAGAATGGCAGTAATTCAGAACTTGTTCGAACCGCTACCCACCTCCCTCTTTATCCTCACCTCGCTGCAGCCTCTGCGAATGTTTCATGCACTGCGCGCGTGTAAGGTCGCACCGCGGTGGTTGTTACCTTGCGCACTCTACTCTGAGTGCGGTAATCATAGGTAGTCATGTGTTATTTACAGCGTTCTTGATGCTCTAAGAGATACCCCCTACCGCCTCTTACCCTTTCTTGCCGAAGTCTCGTTCTTTGAGAATTTGTATTGACCTCGATGTAAGAAGTGTGTTCCACGTCATGTAGAGATCGTCAACTGTTTTTTAGGAAAAAATTGTTTGATGCGCGATAAACTGCTGGCTATATAGACATTCTTGGTGGATGATTATGGCATAGGTGTGCGGGAAGTCTTGTTCAAACACTGACGGGAGATTGGAGAGTGCGTTACGAGCCAGTGCAAACATTTCCGAAGACCTTGAAACCTTCCCGGTAATTTCTCTTAGCACATTAGGAAAACGGAACTGGGTTGCTGGTGGGAGACAACAACACACCACTCTAACAGTCGCATCGACACTTCAGGGTAGCGTAATCGTTTCGGGTTGTTTGTTGCGCGACGCCGAGGATGATTGCTGCCAGGCAGGAGGGGCGGCGCTGGACGGGTGGCTGGCGCTCTACTGAGCTCTGCCGTCTCGTAGGCAACTCTGCCGCTGCCTGTGTTGTTGTTTGGGAATCAATGCTGAGTGCGCTAGCCGCGTTTTGCTCTGACATTTACCACTGTCCCTAGTGAATGCTCCATCCCTTCATTCAATTGTCAACTTCATAAATCCACACGATATTCTGGCCCAACAACGATTCGACCAAATATTGTTCCCCTGACCCTGATTCTGGCTTTGCAGTATGCTATTCATCTTCAAACTAACGCTATTGTTAGTCATTGGCTACTCGGTAAGTTCGCTTTTTTTAGGGCACGATTTTCTTTCATTTTGTGAAAGAATCTGATTTAAAGCCCAATCGATTCTACACCTGCACTGCTGAAAACACAGAGCTTAAGGATTACAAGTTTGGTAGTCAGTTCAGCCTTGAGATTACGACAAACCGGAGGAGGAGCTGTGAGTTGAACTCTTTCTTCATTTAGAGATTCCCTGCTTCTTTCTTGTTCCATTTCCGTTTTCTAGTGTTTTTAAACCTCTTATGTTGCGAAAAATGACGCGTCTGATCGCACAAGTTCGCATTGAGGCCGCAAACTTGCTTTTCTATCGATCTGCGACTGTTTTCCTCTCGCCTCCTATGGCGCTGGTGTGTGGCAACGTAAATAGCCTCTGCACGAGGAATCGAGAAGGAGGCTTGAGAGGCCTTCCGTAGTGCATGCGTACTCATGTTTCTTTCTGATGCTGTTTTTGCACATTTGTTACGTTTGGGCGTGTTGCCCAGGCTGTTTTTGTCATCCCTTGGCGTTGCTTGTGCGAAGACCACCTGCTCTTCGGTTGTTGCCAGGCTGTTGGGGGTTTAGCGTTACACACATACACACCTCAACAACACAGTCGTACACACCTGATGTTGTGGAACAAAGCAAAAAGTAAAAACAAGCAATACAAGCAATGCAAAGGAGCGTCTTTTGAAGACCCACGAACACATGTTTTCGTTCCAATACACTTGGGTGATATGCATAATGAAACAACTATATACCTCGTAGTATTCCTTTACTTTTTTTTTCTATTTAGCTCCCTTCAATATGTACCAATTCCTCCGAATATTGAACTGTATTTATGGGCAGTTCTTCTTCTCTACGACGAGAGCGGGAGCGTACTTGGCGTGTCGCATTAGCTAATGCTTGTCAAAGGGCGCTGGAGAAATTGTCACGCCGGGGATAAGATATGTGAGGAGTCCACATTGCATGCATTTCGTTGCTGCTGCATTTGGTATCATCACGACATTAGGGGCGCGGTTCACTTGGTTCAAAAATGACGAATTCTTCGGTGACCACGCGCTAATGGCAGAAATTGAGTAGAGTGAGGGATGTTTGTGCTCCTAAAAGCTGCTTATTGCCTGCCCATTGTCCCCATAATGGATCTCATGTGAAATGCGCACTTTTGCAGCTTTGAATTCACTATTTGATCTTTTGAGGGGAATCTAGAGATGCAGTGCATAGATTAGATTCATGCGAACCAAGGAAAAGTTTCCCGATTTGTCGTCCATTTGTGTGTGGGTCTTCATCCAAGAAAATGATTGATTTCGATACTTATCCGTTTAAACCGCTTTTTTGAGCATACACCCCATCTGAGGCACGAGCATGGGACACGGTTTTTACTACCCATGTGGGTAACACATGGTGCATCCTAATATCAATATGACATTCACTCACAGTTCTGAGTAGACTTAATGAAAATCACATCAGCGCTGTGGAGCTTCTGTTTCGCGCTACAGAGAAGAAATGCGGTCGCGAACTGTAGTGTTTAATTGACGTACGTTCTGCATGAACGCAGTGGTATGCTAAAATGATTGACGATGAAACACCTTGTCAGAATCGATCAACGCGCTTCTGGTCCATCTCTATCTGTCAGGCCAAAACTGCCATCCCAGGGATGATTTGTGGAGCGCTGCAATTATTCAAAGAAAACGAATGCGAAATAGTAGCAATTTAACTTTGGTTATTCTAGCGTCCAAGTGACATCGATTGGTGGGAGCTAAAAAGAGTTTGAAGCGGAAATGGCTCTGCTTTGGAAAGCCCATGGGAAAACGTGTTTGTGTATTGAAAATGACAATGGAAATTTCAGTGGGAAATGTTCCACCTAGTGAACAGTACGTCAACCAGAGTTCGCCGATTGCGCTTCAGGGACAACAACACAAACTGCACTGTTTTTTCTCGGGATAGTGAGTTTTTCTATTTGTTTTGATCCTATTAATAAGTTGCACTATTTGTTTTAGTTTTTCATTTGTAAGTAAAAACAGTAATTTCCACTCTGTGAATATTGCTTTCTGCTTGATTGCTATGAGGAAATTATGCAGCAATCAGGCGTTGCTGCAGTTTTTCTTAAACCCTTTTTTTCTCTCTTGCTGGACAAATTAATTTTATGGGTTCAGTGTGTCTGCGAAATCTGGCTCTGGCCTGCCGAAACAATCCCTTTACATATGTCCGGCGTTCTCCGAGCCAGCATTTTCGCGCTTTTTTTTAATCAGCGATATTGTCCTACGGCTGATGCTCATTTCGAATAATTCTTTTTTTTTNTTTTTTTTTCAATTTATGGAGCGTGCTTTCAACTGTTCGATAACCCTGAAAGGTCCAGAAGTAGCCTTATTTTCAAATTTATCCTTTTTCGTGAGGTTATCTGCGCTATTTATAATTAAACTGTAGTGTCCGATTGTTGTTCACGTGTGCAGTACTATGGAATGCTTTCTGGCGTAAGCTGCAAAGAGGTCTCAAGGGAAATCGGAAAATCATCAGTGGCAGTCGATGACTGACACGCAGGAGGAGGCAAGGGTCATTGGCGGCTCCAGGACATCAACTGGGATCGCAGTGGCACGCAAGCCGGCCTGGCCTCTGCCTTCATTTGCATTTCGAGGACCGCTGCTCTTGGCTAGATATATTTGGAAATGGATAGCGTGCAGAAGAGGGCGCCTGGAAGTTATCGTTTCGGCTTGGGTGAGTCGACGCGCGCTCACGGACCGATAATGGGAAAGGGTGCCAGCTGGCCAGTCTCTTTGGCTCGAGGAGTTTCCGAGCGGATTGGCACCGGTCAATACGATTAACCCACGTTCCTGACGCTGTTTACGGATGCGATATCGATCGTTGTTTATGCATGGTGTCCATTCGTATAATCGTCAGGAGGGAGTAATAAGGGCTGGCGTATTGTGAGCTAGTAAATGGTTGGCTACTGAGATTAAAGAGTTACCGCATTGCACTAACCTGCCGGCCTTCTACAACAATGTGTCTATAATGGGCTATTGTTGTTCACTGAATAGTATCTAATCGATGTATAATTTCAGAGCAGATCAGTGGAAGTTTATAGTCACCGTGAAAAAGTTTTTCTAGCAGCCCACATGAAATTGTGCATGAACCAATTCGTGAATCCAGTATTTGATTGAAATGGTGCATGCATCAATTCGTAAACCCAATTTTCGGAATTGGTAAACATTGTCTGTTATGCAGCTGCAGACTGTTTGATTTCTGATTTCCCTTGTTCACAATTTTCGAATTCCAACAGTTTAGCGAGAACTTTTGATTATAATATTCCCTCACATTATTGATTCAAAGAAAAAGTGAATTACATGCGCTGACAGTGTAGGATAGCTTGGATGCGGTGACTGACAAGGACCACATTTTATGCTTTGTCGCACATTTCTGAAAACAAATTCTTGTTCAGCTTTTCTTTGATGTGCAGAAGATTTCATTAAAAACGTTTCTGCTTTTCCTATGAGCGCTTGATGCAAGAGTGCTCTGAAAAGCTTCATTTGAATTTGAGAGCCTTTGTATTGGTACCAGCACTTATCCGTGGTTGCTTCCATTATAACACTTACCGGATAGTAAGAGGATTACATTTCCGCAAGCAGCCAGCTGCAGGAGCTCGCCCTTATCTTCAGAATCCATGTCTACTTAACATTTGCTCATCTCGTGATGTGATGCTTTTAAATCGCGTGCACCTTCTGCATTAGCTGCGAACACCTAGAATGCCTTATATGATAGTGGAAAGGTAGCTAAAACTTCGCCAGATAAAAAGGGAGACAAATTTACGATAGAATGGAATTCAGTTTTTGAATCGATACGGCAGTCGATGAAGTTTCCGTTCTGCTTTAGTCGGATTCTTCTCTTGGTAATAGCTTCCTTATTGCAGTCAGAGACTATTGGTATTTATAACTTTTTTCTTAATGAAATTACAACTCTTTGCGCCTTTGTATTAAGTGTTTAATCTAATAGTGGGAGTGCGTAACACCTGTGACATTATGACATCGCGTTAATTCCGCAGAACCGATTAGTTTCTCGGTCGCTAGCGATCTCTTTCTCCCATCAACTTCCCTATCACCGCCTATTTGCAGACAAATTGACAGAAAGGCTCTACAAAGACTGGCAGGTCAGCAAGTCGGCGCACTCGAACAAGTGATTTTTATAGTAGAGAGATTTGGGTTCAGGTTCGGTGCTAAAACCAACGAAACCTTTATCGAGGATATTTTTTCTCAAAGAGAAGTTCCTATGGGCTTTCTTTGGGTAGACATTATAGCCTTACAACACCTACTACAAGAAAAATTACCTTTGTCTGGTTAAGCTCTTTTTTTGATGGTTGTCAAGCGGAGAACTTTTCAAAAACCTCTTTTATTCACGCCGAGATATTCTTTACTGGAGAACTTTGTTAGAAAATGCTATGAGCCCAATTCAGAAACAACCTTGATCTCTAGGATGGATTGCCTCTCTTTACTCTTCTTCGCTTTTTTGGTTTATGGGGTTCAGTTTGAAATTTATTGCTTGACAAATGGCAGCCAGGATAGCAAACCAAATCAAGCTTTCCATACATTTATGTGAATGGTAGATGTGTGGTCACCGTACGAATTGGAAAATAAGCTGACAGCCATAGCATCAATCAGTGTTTTTTTAGCCCCGCACCGAAACCTACATGGTACCACAACGGTCGAGAAATTAGCGAAGATACTGACGAAGGGTTCCGATTCGAGTCGTACGGGAAGACGCTGGTACGGTGGCTTGTTCCCGAAACGTTTATTTACTTTTTTTCACTGTTCGAGATCAGTGTATCGAATTTCAGGTATTCAATGTAACGCAAGACAAAGCTGGCAAGTATGACTGCCGTTTTCCCGTGCACAATGACATCGATAGAGCATTCAACGTTGTTGTGGAAGGTAAGTGTTTACGTCTCTTGGCCATAAACATGTGTTTACAGTAGAACTTCGGCTTGACACCTTGTCATTGATCATGTCATGTTGTTGTGGCTGTAATGCTTGTTTTTTCTCGACTATTGCTCTGAAATTCGATATGTGATTACTGCTGCCTTGCATCTCTACGTCTATGCGTCACTAGAGAATCCTTCGGCCCAGGTTCAGCATGAAACATCTGCAATCGATTTAAAGCGCATGCCGAACTAGTCGCTTATTCTGCCAGGTGCTCAAATGAAACGTCGCAGTTGTTTCGCCTCACCCACCCACCCACAGGCGAAGGATATTTTTTCACGACACTACAACGGCTGTTATTAATATCGGAGTAACTCTGGTCTTGGATCGGTCTGAGGACTGCATGCGCCCCGCGAACCCTTGTGACAGACTAGACTTGTTTTTAGTGGAGGGCGCTCCTAAATTCTAGCGAGCTAAAAATGGGAGTTGTTCCCTTTGTACTGCTTTTATCTCCGTACATGATAAGATGGGTTCTGAAACGAGCCTCCCCGATTCGGGAGTTTTGGTTGTTTAAGAATTTGGATTAGAAGACTTGGTTTTTTAACCAAAATCCCTGCATTACGCATCGATCCGCTGTAATCGCGACAGTTCATTGCTGTGGCTTGCCACGTCGCCATTTTTTAAGAAAAGACGTCATGTTCTGAGATAAGATGAAACCGTTTTTACGAAATCTCCCCGAAAGAGCATGTAGTTCAAGTACACCTCTTTTCAGTGGCAAACGTTGTCAAAAGTGCCTGTTATTTGAGAATCCTGCGAGACACAATCTAGAGTTTAGCTCTGGAACCTTCGATAAACAAACTTAGTTTACTCGGTATCACACACATATGTTGTAGTGCTATAGACAAACACACACTGCAGAAAGTGCACATGTCGCCGAAAATTGTGCAGATAAGTTGAGGAACAAACCAGCCTTCATTTTTCTGTTTGCAAAACCAATCTTCCACGATTTCCATGTTTGGCAATCCTCAAGCGGTTTTTTGAACGTGGCTGTGATCCAATCTACTTCCCATAATGATTGTTTTCACAAAAAAGGAATTGATCTTGATAATTGCTGCTTTTAAATAATGATGCTGCAGAATAATACGGCTATTATTATGCGTCCCCACCACTGTAACTTGAAACGATCACTCAAACCATTGTTGGAGAAACTGCACACTTTTTTTATAAGTCAATATTCATTTCAGCCGCTCCCTACTGGCCAGACGGGCCGCCACCAAATACTAACACAAGCGAAGGTGAAACGGTCACATTTGACTGCACGACGAGTGGAAAGCCGGTGCCGAAAGTCACCTTTTACAAAAATGGCGTCGGTAAGTGCCCAGTTTACGCCTTTGTGTAGAGTTCCGGACGTATCGTGAAGTTTTCATTTCAAAGAGTATCATTTATCAGAATGACTATTTCTACCGCTTTTTACTCTCTGGTAACGTTAATTGAATGCGGTTTCCTGCTAGCCCAGGCATCAATGATGAGGTGCAAACGTATTCAGCTGAAGGGAAAGGGCGTCGTTCGGGTGTTGCTTCGTTGCATGCGGCTTCTAATGAATGTTCTTTGGTAATGCAATTTTCCTCGAAAGTTTCTTCCGTGCGGAGCGTAGGCAGTTTGCCATCGTTTGAGGGATGTGAGAGTAGATTTTTGAAGGCTGCACAAAAATCCTCCGAGCAAACGATAGTGTATCAGCTTCCCTTGATTTTAGTATTGCCAGTACTCGTTGACTGCAAAGCAATAAGAAGTGCGCTCGCCGCTGATTGAGCTCTTGGTAGCGAGCACGTAATCGTTTTTTAAAATCACATTATGTTGAGACTTTATAACATTCAGATTTGCTGGCAAATACCAGAAAATGTTCATACATCTGCTAACGGCAATATTAATGAGTTGTGTTCAAAAATGGTCTGAGTTGTCGAAGAAATCCAATTTCAAATTCCATGAAAGGATTTAATGTTCTGCCGCGGTCACTGAATTGCACTCAAAATTTCCTCACAAATGTTATGCGCCAATCAAATTGTGCAATGAATTGAACGAGCTTGCAAAGTTTCTGGTAAATTAGAAAACCTAAAAAGGCCTCATTCGAGACGAGAACCTATCAGAGGGCCCATAGGGCTCGAAATAATGACATGACTGGGGACACATGGTTGTGCTCTAGAAGACTTATAATGTCGAGCAAGAGAACCTCTGTTCCTTGTTCACTATCATTTGCATAGAGCTTAAGGCGGGACGGCGAACCTTGCGATCCAGTTTGACTTCCTCGACGACGAATTATGGAGCTTGGGGATCAAACTTTGTTGGTGCTGATTATCTTTGCATTTCAATTTATCTTACTCGAAATTCCCCGACAATAATTTCAGTGCTCAGGTTATTCGAGTCTGCTCTCATCACGTAGGTCATCTGTTGTAAACCCTTTTCTCCTAGGTTTCACCTAATTTTCTATGAAGAGTTTGTATGAATATTTTCATTATTATTGTTATTATTTTTCGTTTGAGTTTTGCTTCCTGCTTTCTAATATGAAGGCTCGTGAACGCTAAACTTTCATCTTTCTGCATCGTTTTTACTGACAAGTGACTCAATTTCACACTATCCTTCATTATTCTGGAACGCAATTTAACTGAGTTATGGCCGTGCAAGCCTATTATTTTTGCGAAGATTATCTTTCTGCAGTCCTTTGGTGCCATGCAGAGTGTCAATTTAGAGCCTCTACCAATATTTGCCTACAATTTTTCGATTTTTATTCCTACAGCAACTATTCCTTGGTAATAGAATATTTTTTCCCTGCGGTAATAGTCTAGGAATTTTACGCGTCGTGAAGGTCTTTTTAACTGATGGGGCTTTTGCTGAAAGTGGGGTTTCGATATATTTCCGATAACCACACAGAGCTGGTTTGTCTGTCAGGATGGAAACCCTGACTTTTTCATCAGTTGGCCTCTTCAAGTCAGTGCATAAGCCAAAGGCGCACTTGAACGTCAATACGATTTCGAATGGAAGGCGAATATATGGGCGCTTCAAAATGAGATTGTTCAAGATACCTATGTTTCCGTTTGAATCATGGGGGAGGGGAGGGGGGGGGGGGGGGGGGGGGGGGGGGTGTACTGTTTCTTCACGCGCATTCACTGGTTCCAAGGTTCCTGGGCTCGGATGGGCATTTGTAGTTTGACTTGAAGCTCAAACCTATACTTGGACGTTAATCTTGAAAGCTAGTTCAACACTTAACTTTCAATTTTTTCATTTATTTGCTCAACCCCGAACTGTTTCCTTGGTTTTCCCTGCTCTCAGTTAGCATGACCTGGATGAGGCGAAGTAAGAGAGTACATGGGAGATGGGGGATCCGAACTCTCTGTGTCAGTTCTGTAGACCGTCTCGCTAACCGTTTTGGGTGGTTGACTTATTAACTGCTCACTGTTATGAATGGTACAGCGAAGGAAAAATGACAGCTTCATTTAGACCCCTTTTGTGAGCCGGAAAATCCGAGCCCAGCGTAGAAGACAACCGTTTCTACAATGTTATGAAAATTGGGCCCTATACGCGAATTGCTCTCTCCTTACAGCTTGACTCAGACGGCGCATTGGTTCAGATATAAGAGTTTTTGCGAATTCTTTCATGACTGTTTGCAAATAAATATGCTACGTCGAGGCAGAAGGTTTTATGTACTTTCAGTAAACAAAAGATGAGGTTGGGGGTGAAAGTGACATTGTAGTGTTGTAGAGATGGCAAAGTTTTTCTGAAAAGTGCTTTTGAGATAGCGCTGTCAAGGCATAATTGGTGCACCAACCAAAACATGTACAGTTATTGAAGGATGAATTTCCCTCCTTCCTGAAGTGATTTTCCTCCTGTCCTCCTTCCTCCATCCAGGTTTTAGTGATGCTCTTAGACAGCAAATCAGAATAGTGGTGTTAGAACTGCAACCAATGAAATTCGGCTGCAGGCATATTGCTTTTGGATTGTAGTTTAAGCATTTCTGTGATTTTTGAAATCAACGAGCAGTCGAAGGCTCTGTTTTACCTAATGTTTCCTACATCCGCAATAAATCTGCGAAACAGAGGTTTTTCGAACGGCGATGCCGTCAAGCTGATGAGCCTACCAGTTTTGTCGTTCTAATCCTCTTGAAATTGGCTGGTTTCAGAAATGAAGAAGCCCAAGGACGGCGAGAAATGGGTAATTGAAACTAATCGACTAACCATCTACGATGTGAAGAAAGGTATTCATGGCAAGGGTGACAATGCTGTCTACCAATGCAAAGCCGAAAACAAGCACGGCTATGTTTGGACGAATTTCTACCTTAATCTCTTGGGTAGGTTGTATTGTGATTTTTGTTGCGCCTTGGTGATGAAATCATTGATGGAAATTACTTACAGCATTCAAACCTCAACTATTGACGGATGCTGGAGAAGTGGAAGCTGTCGCCGGTCAGTCAGTAACCCTGGAATGCAAATTTTTCGCCAGTCCGAATGCAGTCATCACCTGGTCGAGTCCTGTCCTGCAAGGCATCGTTCACAACGTTATTCCAGCTAACCCGCACGGTGTTGGAAAGCTTGTCATTCCCAGTAAGTTGCTGAATTCTTTATTCCTTTGAGCTCATGATTTCATTGATGCCATATTATGTACGTTCTCAGATGTTACTCCTGAAGCTGAAGGGGAATATGAATGTACGGGCACGAATAAGTACGGTCAATCCAAAGGAGCTGCGAAATTGCTTGTGCGAAGTGAGTTCATTTTGTTGAAAGGCTCTGAGATAGCTCTTCTCTCTACAACGCTTAGCATGCTGAATGAGTATCTGAGTACGAATGAGAGTTCTTGTAGAAGCGACGCGATTGGAACCTTTCCGGCGATCCGAAGAAGTCAAAATAGCCGGCGAAACTATTCGCCTGCCTTGCGAGGCGACTCCAGACGAACGGTCAGTCAAAGCGTTAGAAGTATTATTTTTGATTCATTTATGCTCTGATCAGCGTCTTTCAAAAATCAGGATGGTAACTATCTATAATTCTCGAGTACTCACCTGACATTTGTAACTATTATAGTGACATTGCATAGTTTATTTGTATTTACATTGTTTACCTGATATTGGAGCTGCAGCTCTAAGTCGCTCTTTTCTACTACGCTACCCACCCGATAAAATGATAGATACTAGGGTTTGCACCTTCCCAAATGCGTGACATCGTGTTCATTAAACGTGAATGGGTGGGAATTTGCGTGACTTAGACGAAACCCAATTCATCCAAAGGCATCGTGAGGTCTGCAATCCCTAAGTTTGCCGCGATTTTGATAAATTGTCCGAGTTAGATTGCGATATAGATGACCTTCATGCGATTGTCGAGATTTCGTTCTACTGAAGTTTCGTAGGAATCGTTTCAGACTCGAGGTGAATTACGAATGGCACGTAAACGGTCAGCCTCTTTCCGAAGTACACTTGCAATCAGGACATTATAAGGTCAGTTGAATCCCTCTTGTTTAGAAAAATTCCGGAAATAAAAACGAAATTCTTGAAAGTGCTCTAAACATCTCATCTGAATATCTATCTTCATGAATGGAAACACCTTTACAAATCGAACTTTTTATAAAATTTGAGCTTTTCGGAATATTTCAAATCTCATTCGTAAAATGTTTTTCTGCACTACAACATTTTGGCTTTTTTTGCAGGACTAGTAACTAGTCAGGTTGAAATTCGGTATTCGGAGTTTTGGTATCAGTAGGTCGCAAAAATAAACAGTTAACTACCTTATTCTCTATTTTGTATGGTGAATAATCAGCCGGTGATAATGTGCACTAATGTTTGGCCTTTCACTGCATTGTGATAGTGTTCCGAGTCGGCAAAAGAACCACTTTGATCATCTACTTCAAGTATAGTTCCAGCGTCGTTTTTTTTGCTTCTTATTTAGCAACATGCTTAAATAAAATGGAAAATCTTTTCTAGAAAAAGTCACAAGACTTAAGGGGCAATCTTCAAGCTCTGGCAGAAAAAAAGTTGAAAAATAAACCCACGAGTCTCGTTGGAGAACCCGATAATGGAATGCTCAAAATAAGTCGCGAAAGTAAATAGTGCATCATTGGTTGATACCATGCAATGGAAAATAGAAATTGAGTTAGCCATCGGTTTGATTCAATTTCGCTGACTCCCATGCAAACCCGTAATTTGACTTGGCCCATTATAATCCTTTGAACTAAACATATCTTCATAGTGGTGCGTGCAAAAACCATCTAAATGGTTTACGGCATTACTTAAAGCTTAATATTTATGGAAAAAACTTCATAAAAAAGAGACATTGCTAATATTACAGTGAGTAATGTGCCCACTTGGGGTCACAATACGCGTCGAAAACGGTTTTTGAGATTTCTCCGCAAAATGATCCCGTGACCCAAAAGGGTAGCCCAAAGGGTGCCGTTGGGTCGAAAAAAGATCGAGAAAAGACGTAATAAGAGCCCAAAAACCGGCTTGGTCAACGTACACCCCTAAAGGCGGACGAGTACTTACGGCTTTGTAGAGGCTGTAGAGGTTGCACCATTTGCACCATTTGGACCTAGATGCACACGTTACCCACAGGCAGCTTACTGTAGCCAACTGGACGCAATGGCACACACATTTGAACAGATAGTCTGAAACGGGGGACGTGCGATTCGTGCGATTTTGGGCACGCGCGGCAAATTGTGCGGCGAAATTCGCGATGATTCGAACAACTACGGCGTTTCTCACTGAGGCACAAACTTGAAGTAGAGTACTTTAGTAGGTTCGGACAATCCTACTAACCTAGTTTACTTCGTTTTTGGGCCCCAATGATAAACGCTGTAGTCGTTCAAATCGCACCGGGTTTCGCCGCGCAACTCGCCGCGCGCACCCAGAATCGCACGAATCGCAACACACCCGTCTGAAACGGAGAACGTCCGTTGCGCGTGTCCGTCGAAAGTAGGTCACCCCGCCCACTTCGCGCGCGGCGCATCACACTGAGGTCCGAGATGACATTACAGTACCACCAAGTGTCATTGGAGCAAATGATTTGCATTTGTCTGTGTTATCTTCTTGTTGAACTGACTGCCGTGGACCAAACGCAAAGCGTATGCCTCAGTGACAATTGCGACGTCTGTCAAATATCGCGGGCCGACTCGCCGCGTGCGACGGCTGCGGCGTGACCTAGTTTCGACGGACACGCGCAACGAAGCGCACCCGTCTGAAACCATTCCGTTCCATTCAACTTTTGTCGTCCCATTCTCGTCCAACGCCAGAATCATTGCCTTTTTGAAGCCTTATTTCTTCGCCTTTTTTGCCCTATTCTAAATTATAACTTCTATTAATCGTCAAAAGTCAGATACCCCAAAATTATCACTGTGCCTTTGATATGGAATCTAGCTTTCCTGTTCGAAGAGCTCTGACTCTATCCAATTTTTGAAAAATCTTTTTATCTTATCCATATCAAAGCATATGAATACTGGCATGATTTCGAATTCCTGCTTAATTAAGGTGGATAGCGATAATTCGTTGCTAGTCACCAATCCAACTCAATACGATTCGGCGAAGTACAAGTGTATTGCAAGCACAAAGCTCGACAAGGTTGAGAAAGAAGTTCAGATTCAAATCAAAGGTAAGACTGAATTCATAATTGCATAAATTAGGCCGTGCAGACTTCTTGCACTTTATGAGACTTCATGCTCTGTCCTCAGTTGGTCGGGACAAAACTGATTGAGACTGATAAGGATTTGAATTCGAAAGGGTTGAGTAAATCTGCGGTTTCAATCGCGACAAACTATCATTTTTTCAAGTTTGGCCTGGAAAGATCGGCATCAATGTGGCAATTAATATTTCAATGTTATATGAAGTATCATTCATGGAAAAAGTTCGAAAGTAGGCGAGTTTTTTTTTTCAGTAAAGTTTTGTCGTACGAGGTAACGGATAATTTCTGGAGGCCGTGAAACCTCCAATCATAACTTCTGAGTTTTCAAGGAAAAATTCTGACGGATGACAACTTTTTTTGTGGAACACTCTGGAACAAAGGTGTTTATACAATAGTTGTACGCTCTACTTCATTGAGAGTAGCTGAACCAAAACATGCAATGCCTCTTAGCAAACTGGCACAAGAAAAAGTTAAGGACTACTATGAAATTAGTTGAGGGTAAGACGGAATGGTATGTATATGTACAAATGAATCGCTTAGAATGGTAAGAGGGAAACGGGAGCACCATTCAACTTACGGTTCGGCACAGTTGCTACTACACACCTCCGGTAAACATGCATTGCCACATTCCAGAGAATCAGTAGTTGTGCAATTTTCGGTATCCCGTCGTGATGGGACTCACGACCATCGTCTCATCCTCAATAAAAAACAAAAAAAAAATCTAAAGTACTCGAATACCCTTAATTGCAATGATGTCAGCGACTGGAGTCCTCTCATTTCTAAAGTAGAATCGTCTTGGAGCAGCGTTTTTAAAGCCCGTAATCAGGTCGTCACACGTTACTGAAAGGGATTAATTCTCCAAAAGAAATGAGTTCAAAACTTGCAAATTTAGTTTGTTCTGCGAGTTGATCATTACAATACCCTTTTTTTCATGGAACTCTCAGATAGGTAATCTTTTCTGAAATATTGCCGTCGAAAATTCCCACATCATTTCCTGTTTCGGTTTCTTTTCAACCGAATGCTTACGTATGGGGTAGAGGTCGGAAGATTCGCGATGACTTTCTGAAGGCGCAGCATGCCACTCGAAGTTCATGCCCATGATAACTCGAATTAGAATCGAATTGAAAGCGATCGCTGTAAAAACTCGTCTTACTACGATAACTAGCTTTAAAATCCGTTGTTACGCATCTGTGAATAAACAGTGTGTGGATGCGTTCGGATGTAGCATATATGATGTTTATGACTATTGTTAATCATGTCTTTTCTTTATTGAGCAGACAAACATTGCTGTAAAAAAGTTAAATGAAAGTGTGGAGTCAAAAGCCTGAGTTGTGAGCATGAAAGGACTAGATTGGTGATAGCACGCATGGCCTTGAGGCGGGGCTTTAGAAAAACGTCTGAGAAATTGGTTCTGCTAAAGTTGTTCGAGGTCGTGAACTATCGCTGTTGTTCACTACAGACATTCTCCACAAAATCAGATAACTTTAATCGATGTCGATCACATAAAAAATGAAAATCACATAGCTGAAGCTCGATATTTGTAGCGTGTAGCGCGCTAAACAATGTATGGACAATATATAGCGTATAGTGCCTTAGCTGGCACTATACGCTATATATTGTCCATACACGCTATATATTTTTTAACCATCCAGATTGTCTCTGGCCTACTATGTGCTTTTGATTGTAGCCTCACCCACCACCTTGCCTACATAGAGCACTTGAACTCCTTTTTTTGGCTGCCTGTGCGCTATTTGGCGATATTAAGACTTCTAAGAAGCTACTGAGTTTTTTGAACTCACCTTCTCTCACTTTTGGGTACCTGTTTTGAGTCCTTAGAACTCACTTTGCTTCTCTGAAACAAGATAACGTTCGGAGTTTCATCTGCTGACGTTTCCCGCACGGCAGGTTCGTGTGCGACACGAGAAAGCTGTAATAGGTCCGATTACCAGTCGGAACTTTGTGTGGAAAGAAAATTGAAGGAGGAAAGAGAAAAATTGAAGAACTATGTCAGTAAAAGGGACCACGCTGTAATCTTTGTAAGCGTCTGGATTATTAGTGGTTGTAGGTTTCAAGATTAATAATGGTCTAAATATACCTTTACAGATGTGCCAATGCCTGTGCACGCCGCCTACGTAAGCAAATGTGACGCGGACTCACAGTCAGCTGAAATCAGCTTTGAACATATGGAACCAGCGGATACGGTCTCACCGGTAAAGGAGTTCTGGTGAGTATGGAAGCTTTTTCCTAGTGTATGTCTAAACAACCTTGAATTAATAAAAAAACTTTGAAAATCAGTTTTTCACCCTAGAATATTTTTGGTTGCGTTTTGGGTCATTCCTCTTGTGGAGAAATTCCTTAAAATAAATTTAATATAAAAGGATAGTGGCATAGGCCTTTTATCGTTAATCAATTGCGACTGAGGAATGCGCCGCGCACTCGACTTCAATTCGTAATCGTAGTTGCGTATTAAATGCGTTTCAACGTCTAAACAACCTTGAATTAATAAAAAAAACTTTGAAAATCAGTTTTTCACCCTAGAATATTTTTGGTTGCGTTTTGGGTCATTCCTCTTGTGGAGAAATTCCTTAAAATAAATTTAATATAAAAGGATAGTGGCATAGGTCTTTTATGGTTAATCAATTGCGACTGAGGAATGCGCCGCGCACTCGACTTCAATTCGTAATCGTAGTTNGGGGGGGGGGGGGGGGGGGGGGGAGGGCTCAGCTGGGTTAGCCGGGATCCGAATCCGTGACCATATGCGGGCGAGTGCGCCACTTACCAATACATCACCTTACCATTCCTTATACTTGATGATATCTACTATCTGTATGTCTTTATCAGAGTTTATGCCCGCCCGGTAAAAGAAACTGTCATTGATCAAACTCCCTTACGATTAGTAGCGTTTCATGGAAGCCTTGTTTTTCCTCATGGTGATTTTGGATTCCGAAGCTTTCATGCAGTAACTCCCAAGGATTTGGTCGAATCGCCCTTATACCTTTCACATTCTAACTCTGTACGTATCAGTAAATACATAGTCTCCCCTCACTGGGGACCGCTCATTTTTAGCCTAGCCATCGTGCAAGGCCAGTAATTGAAAAGGGTCTCAATTTTCCAGTACGTCATTGTTTCCGGCATCAGAGATGACGAATGAAACTTTTCAGAAACAATTGCAGAAAATGAACTGATAATATTAAAGACTGATTTTTAGGGTTCAATATCAAATGGACAGTGAGACAGAAGGCACACAGTGGCGAACCCATCCGGTTCCTGTCCAAGCGCATCCAAATGACCGCATTGAGGGAGATCAACGAATGGTCAGCGGAAAAGCCACCGTGGCCCTTCAACCTTTTGGCCATGTACGTTTCGTTTTTCCATTGAATCGTTGTTTCAGATGGAATCATGCTATTATTTCTTGATTGTTTCAGTACGTGTTTCGAGTGTTAGCGCGAAACGGAGTTGGCGACAGCTCACCGACAAGAGTAAAAGATGTGTGCATCACGCCTCCCAAACAACCTGATAGGAATCCTTCTGGAGTTTGGGCAAAAGGTGCTAGTCCGGAGAACATCGTCGTTCACTGGCGTCCAATGCCTCGTGAGGAGTGGAACGGGAAAAATTTCCACTACAAGATAAAGTGAACTATGCATCTTTATTTTTCTTATGATTTTTTTACCTTTTGGAGCTTCTCCTCCCAACCCAGTTACTAGTTTTTACTGTGAATCCTTTCCATTTGTGGGTTTCCGTCTAACCATAAGAGAAATTCATTGTCGTTGGTGCCGTTGTGTCGTTGCTTCTGGAGTCATTACCTTAGCTGATGAACTACAGGGAAATGATTCCCGTATCCTAATATTCTTTTGTAATTTGTGTTGTTTTTCACTTGTTACTTCGAATACCCTTTTTAGGTATCGTCCATCCGAAGGAGGAGAAGGTGGAGGGGGCTCGTGGAAGGAAGTCCAAGTGAACGATCCTTTTGCCGATCGTTATACTATCACCCTCGAGGACGATAAGGATGTGAAGCCTTTCCAACCATATGAAGTCCAGGTAACCGAGTCTACCGTGCATGCACAGTTACGCTGTCGATGTGGTTCACTTGCTGTGTACTGCAGGTCCAAGCGGTAAATGATGAAGGGCAAGCGAATGTGGTCCCTGAAACTGTGCAGGGCCACACAGGCGAAGGAGTGCCGAGCAGCATCCCATCTGGGTTCCGCGTCGTTAGCAAGGTAAAGTTTTGGACCTCTGCATGTTATTATGCTTTCGCAAGCTCGTTGAGTGGCACTACTCGCTTTCTGACTGTAATTGTTCTCATTAAACGAGGAGCACTTCAGGATGGCACGACAGCGACGTTTGCTTGGGATCCTATCGATCCTCGAACGGCTAATGGAAACTTCACTGGATATAAGGTGAGAGGCAAAAAGCGCTTGGTCGAGTGCAGAAGTTATACTGAGGTGATGGTTTTCCAGATAACATATTGGCACGACGAAGTAGACAGTGAAGAGGACAATGATGTCGATACGCGGTTCCGCTTCAAACGAGCAGCTAAAGTACGTTTCTAATGTCTAGTTTTTCGGAATACTAGTGTATACGTGTGCGCTGCGCAACGCTTATTTCAAGAGTTTTCTTTTTAAGCCTATCAGTTTGAATATGTCTGTAAAACTACCGTAAAGTTTCCCAATGTGATAAAAATGGACTGTTGTGGAATTTCCGTCAAGCCTTCCATTACTCATCTTCACTCTGCCTTTCCTCCCGATTTCCGAGATACTCTTAACTGAGCCACGGTCTTCATGAACTACCTTTTTCGATTACAGCTTTACTGCTAATTGTGAATTTCCCCAGCTCCTAGGGCTATCTAGCATAGAGCTACCTCTACAGAGATAGATACCTTGGTGAGGCCCACCTAATCATGGGTCTTTTTGTGGATCTGCTGATTACTTTCAATTCTCCTGCTTTCGAACCATTGGGCTACGAATTTGTGAGCCTTCTGCGTCAGCTCGGCCAAACTTGGGCACGCTGTTTCCAATGTCCCTTGGCTTCCCTTCTTCATATTCCTTGAACAATTTACATGTTTTTTTCGATACTTTTCCAATTCCCACCAGGGTACTTTTTCATTCACGCGTTACCCACTTTTTCTTTTTTGCCCTTTTGCCGTGGCCTGTGGGTTGTTAATTGAAAAACGCCGTGCCCTCCTATTGAGTCCGGCTTCCTAATTCACATGTGCCGCTAACATTCCAACCCATAGTTACCCCAAAGTGGTCTGGCTCTCCAGGAGGTTGTTCAGGAAATGAAATTTTTCTCATGGCCCATACAGTTGCTGACCCACTCACAATGGAAATAACGTTTTTATATCGTACAAATTCTGCTTTTCTGTTAGGCAGACATATCCTCATTTTTTGAACAACACTAGGTCTGACAGGCTCTCATTTCCCCGGTTTGCTCACACATGAGGCTTTTGGCATGCAATGTCGTTTCATGGCCTCTAATTGTCGTTCAACACAAAACCATTTGATAGTGCGAGGTGGCTCACTTGAAATGTTTTATATAGAATGCTCAGCTTCTGAGTCTATCTACTGTATTCCAGATTGTGACAAAACGAGACGTTGAAAGCAAGAGGCGTACGATCGTCTTCGGGCCAAAAGCAACCTCTGGAACTGTGACAGACCTGCAGCCAGACACCGTGAACTATGCAACGATTCAGGTACGATTTGCATGAGCTCATACGTTTCCCCTGAGCTATTCGATTTGTTTAGGTGACGAATGGCGCTCATGAAGGAGAACCCAGTGAAGTGATCCAATTCCGCACCGCAGAGGGAAGTGAGTATAAGTTTTCCTTGTCTCCTTCCTACTCTTTTTCCTATGAGCGCGTTGGGTACTTTCTATTTTTTTCTCCCGATTGAATGGGTTATATAAATATTTTGAAAACGCAGGTGAAGGGCAATCTTCACACCATACAATAACCCTAAGGTTCACTGACACTTTTCATTGGGGGCATCACTTCTGAACTAGGCTATTTCTTCATGTTTGAGGTGGATACTCTAACAACCTCTTCTTATAATGCCATTACTTTGATAGTAGCTTATGAACCAGTTACTGCATAGTTACTTATTGAAGAACCTGTTCCATGGTACAGCCGTTCATTTTGCGCGTTCCATTATTCGAGAGCAGTACTGTATTCACAGCTGCGTGGGATTCTTATATGTTACAGTAGTACTTCAACAATTACTAAATAAATATGTCTCAACTGGAAATTGATACGCAAAATGTTTGCCCCGGGTTCAATGAAGGTTTTTCTGGTAAAAGGTGTTGCTTAGGAAGTGTTTATTGGCAAAAGTTGCAGAATGACCCCGGTTTTTGAGAGACAGTCACGTTTAAGTTTCGCTGAATCTGATTTCAACTTGCTGGAGATTTTCAATGTTTCCGTTATTACCTTGAATGAAAACGTCGCCTTAAAAGAAAGTTCCTTGATTGCCATTCACATTTGCAGTGCCAAGTCCTGTACGTGGTCTTCGCGCTCATCCCATGAATCCAAAAAGCGGAGAAGAGAAGGCAGTCGTGCACTTGATCTGGAGGAAACCGAGACGACCGAACGGAAAACTTCTCAAATATGTGGTACGTTCGAGAGTTATGAGAGCTGAAAAACGGCATACCTTACATCATAAGTGGTTTAATATTCAGGTTGAATACTGCCGCACTGAAAATGGCCGAGTAATTGAAAGGGACTGTCCCAAACAAGAGGTGGCAGCTGATCGAACGCAGGTGTAGACTTTTTTCGAGCGAGAGACACTCGCTGTTATTTTTTTTCGTAATTGCTTACTGAAAAACTTCATCTTGTTCATCTCATCAATTTCCAGATACGATTGTCAGGCTTAGAGTTTGATATGCCGTACCGATTTATTGTTCGAGCCGAAACCAGCGCTGGCGAAGGGGACCCGAATAGCAGCGATTCTACTACCCTTCCTGAAGTGGTGGCTGCCGAGTGTGAGTAGTTGTACACTGTTCTTTCCACTAGCTTTTCCTGAAGATACTTTTCGTTTCTTCAAAGGGATTTCACGACCTTATCTAATTTTCGAAAGGCCTACTGTTTTTGGAACCTCTCTAAGCCATTGAGTTTTTGAGCAATGAATAAAAAACTCTCATCGTCTTTCAATGACCACAATAGGGTGATCAGGCAAGCATTTAGGGAACAGGAGGTTATCAGAGAATTGAATGGTTTTCTGCATAAAAACGTCGCTCCTCGATTTTGGATGCCCGTTTGGTTTTGGGCTTTTTGCTACGTAATCATCGTTATATGAATGAAAATGAATTGAAAGTGAATTTATGAAAAAGAAGAAGAATATGCATGAGAGTATTCTAAAGTTTGGGGGAAAGCGTAAATCAGAATTGGGCTGTTTGTGAGGAGGCTGTTGTGAGTGGAAGGGAAGTTCAAACTCACAGCCACTAGGAGCAACATAACCATAAGAGATGATGTGCAATAAAGCTTATGGAGAGAAGGCTATGGCTGGAATCTGCTAGCCGCTTCCCTTTTCAACGGTTAAAGTGTAATGTTTTTGAATACCCCTGCTCGCTATTGTGGGAAAGCTGAAACGTCAAGTGATGTATACATTTCTATGAAATGAAGAAGTTAATCACAAAAGCGCGATGTAGCATTTTTCATGTTCAACCATAAGCTGGACAAATTGCTTTTTTTGCTTGTGAAGTAGTGGGAGACGGAATGAGATACATTCACTAATCGCGTCACTCTCAAAGTTCCACCGAATTCCATTCCAAAACATAAATTCAACTTCAACGAACATTCTCGTTTCTTGAATCGATTCTTCGTTTTGGAGCTTTTTTGAAAAGTGCATTATTCTCAACTCCCAGACGAGCTCCCAATATACCTTTTTGTCAGGGATCTGTCGCAAACGTTTTTGTATATTTAATATATGCAACATTCTCTGGAGATGGTAGTTTTCCGATTAACTCATAAAACTGTTCAAAACGTCCCCTTACCCAGCCATGTTCGGTTCACCCTGCAGCGAAAAGTACATATGCTTCGAAACTAATGAATTTGTAATCGTATTTGAAATCCGCATTGTGATATATTTCCATTGCAGAATTGTTGATAAGCGTGACATTGCGATTAAACGGCATCCGCCGCAAAGGATTGCCGGGTTCCCGCGTGTTTCACTTTAGGCCGCTCGCACCCTACGGATTTGTTAGTGACAGGTCGCGAAGAGGACAGTCCATATCAAAGGCCCTTGTTTACGACTAGGTGGCAAGGTCACATACACTGCGCCTTTCCCTTAGCGCGCACCGGCATTGTGAGCTTTCGGGATCTGTGACTATCCGGGTACTTTCGACTCTAAAAGCGACAGTATTTCAAGGAATCATCGGCTGAATTCCAGTGCACTATTCTGTGATAACGTCATCATCCGTACCGTCGTTTGTAATTGCTTTCCTGATTCAGTACTGCTACTGAAAATTCTGTGCTGTAACCGACTCGCTTCCACGTTCCATTCGGCAGGGGCGGAGTCGAGTGGCTGCCGGGGGCTCAGCTGTGTGTTCCTAATATACTCGTTTCCGCACCCCACTATCGAGCTTGAGCGGATTGTGTCCGCTGGAACTCCCACCTATCGTCCCAGTCGCCGTCCTGTCGACTATCACGCAGTCGTGCTATAGCCTCTGATGTGCTCTACTGGGCGTGTGGCTTTTTTGCTCGTGTTCGTGCCGTTCTGCGGCAGTCAATGTGAGACTTTTTTTTGGGCGTATGAATTCGGCTGTGGCGAAGACATCAGGAAATAGTACTTGTTTTTTATACTCGCATTCATAACCGCAGTCACTGCGTCAGTCTTGCCAAGGTGCGCTTAGTTTCCCAGGAAATGTATCGCTCTTGTCTTTCAATTAGAAGACAATTACATTTATGGAGCAGCAGCAGGCAGCTCGTAGCAGGCAAACGTTCTCCTTGCTCGATTTTGCATTTTCTCTGTCGTCAGCCCTATTATTCCTCTTCAAGTCCATCACAATTCCACTCCAAGTTCAATTATTTGCACACCATTGCACGCTCCTATTATAGCATTTATATACTCGTAGAGCACTCTCACTCATCGATTTCATCTCGGCGCGGATTATTATGCCTAGAGCAATCGCCTAATTAGTAAAGAGGATTACAGATGGCATTCCCAGTCGCAGAAAAATGTTTGTACAATATCATGTTGCTTTCAAATTATTTTGGTTATATTCAATGAAATATCATTGAAAGCGTGTAGCCATGTTTGGATTAAGATTTTTTTTTGATGAAAATCGGGATCAGATCATGTTTTTGTACCGATCTGAGCCCAGAGCCCATACAAGTTCCCTTTACCGTAGTGTTAAAGATGCTCACTGTTTACACAGCTGTTGTTTATAAGAACTAAAAAGCTATGGACCGTATGGCTGAGGGCACCAATTGTATACGGGAACAGAGGTCGTCGTTAGAAGTTATACTATTTAATATGATGGATGTTTTTATTATTTTCTTTTTTTTTCTCATAATAAATTTCATTATGAGCCGTCCAATTTCATTATATTCAGTGGATCCCAGCACGCCGTCTTTCGTTGAGAATGAAATCGGCGACAACTATTTCAATGTCACTTTTACTCCGTCAAAGTTTGACGACGAAGTAAGCCTTCTTTAAGCACTTATTCGCTTATAAATCCTTTCGCACCGATGTAACACAATTCAAGGAACGACGTCCAGTTGGAAACACATTCTTCGTAGAGTATCGAGAAGCTGATACAGACGAATGGAAGCAGGTTCCACAGGAAGGTCGGTTATTAGTACATCATTTCCCCTGCCATTGCTTCTGTAGGCCTTTGCAGGCGATTTGTATCGTTTTTTTTTNTTTTTTTTTCATTGGCAAAATCTTTTTTATTTGAAGGAGACGATTTGACCGTTCATGTTGGTGATCTGAGCCCTGGAACAAGGTATGAGGTTCGTGTTGCCGCTCTTCAGAAAGACCCAAGTGGTGCGGAAAGGGAGACCTACTCTCCTTCGAGTTTCATAACAACTACGGGACGATGTGAGCAACTTTCAATTCCTGTTTTGATATACAAATGAAATCATGTTTGACTTTCCTTGAAACTCTTTTTCCAGCACCGAGAACGGCTCGTTTATGGTGGGTGTTATTGATCCTGTTGATTTTGTTGCTCCTACTGTGTATCCTGTGTATGATCTGTGTCGCGCTGCGACATCGCGGACAGAATTACCCAGTCTCTCAAAAGGAACGTGAACAAGGCCGCGAACCAATTCTCGCAAAACAACACTTCGGCGAGTACAAAAAGTACGTTTGCGAGTATTTACTATGTTTCATCCCTGTAGCTTATTGGTTTTGTTTTTCACGGCTATATTAACGAGTCCCAATTAATTAATCAGGTACTCTTTCTTTCTCAATTTTGTCAGTGACAGTCATACTAATAGACAACTACTTGCTACTTGATATCTCGCATGTGGTTCCACTTTTTCCTGAAAACAGTAACGAAATGGTTTCCTGAATATGACTCGCTATTGTTTAGTGATGATGATGAGAAGCGATCGTTGACCGGTAGTAAGGCGGAGTCTGAGACCGACAGCATGGCGGAATACGGGGACACTGATCCCGGTCGATTCACAGAAGATGGCAGCTTTATAGGTTTGTGACATTTTTCTCTATCGAGTCATTATTTGCAACTTTTACGACATCTATGAAACAATAGTGAACTGAATGAGGGAGAATAACAGGTACGGGTCATGGATTGGGGTATAATCTGAGAGCGGAGGTCTGTCTAGAGAGCGTTCGCGGTTTACAGTGAGCAGTAGAACCGTAATCTATTAAAATCGTGGGCAAAACTGTGCCCAGAAATTTAGGGAGATGCTGAATGCTTGAGAAAAAAGATATGTACTACGCGAACATTCTTTGAAGATGTGGGTGGATCTAAAGGCAGAGGTCATGATGGTTCTGGAACATCTTTTTTTTTTGGGTTTGGGAGCCATAGTATTGGTGCAGAATAGTCCATCGGCTAGGAAGGAGGCGAGAAAATCCGCTGTATTCGTGGAATATGAGGATTCCCAAAGGTAGATATAGGGGATTGTAAAGATTATCATAATACCAATGGTATGAAGGTATGTTTGAACAAGATTTCGGTCATAGCTTGTTGCCCAATGTACCACAACAATCGTTCCAATTTCCCTTTTACTAACGCCACGGGTCGGGAATGCATGTGATCAAAATTTTGTGCTACCGCGACTTTACTTTTGCCATCTGTTAGCTATCAGTTTTTTCTGGCACCCACTTGCCTAAGGTAAACTACATATCGAAATTATTGAATAAACACCGGTTACGAAATCAGCTGTTTGAATTTTCAACACATGTGCTTCTTGTAAATGATGCAATCTCCATAGCACCATTAAAGCGCATCCACCTGTGTGTTATGTCGCCGACGAAGCTAGTCTTTGAGCCCTTCTAACGACCCGTCCCGTGGAGAACGTTTTTCGAACCATTACGACCCTAGTCGCAATGTTGGGGGAGGAAGTTGAGTCATGAAAGGAAACCCGGAAAAACATTTTAATCGTAAACTATGCTTCTGAGGTGCGAGCCACCAATAGTTAAAATTCGTTCATTTTGAGATGGATGGATTATCCAAAAGAGGAGTGTGCTTTGACTCATCAGAGATCAACATGTCCTTTTTCAGTAGTACATTATAGTCCTTTGTGACAAAAGAATTATTGGATAAGGCAGATTCCTATACCTTAACAAACATTTTTCAATTAGTGTTGGTTCAATGGGCAGATTTCTGCAGTTGACCATTGACCTGTGGTTCTTAATGAGGCACTGAAGTCGCTGTTTGCAGGTCAGTACGTTCCGGCAAAGACGCTGATGCCGCCGGAGAGAACGGAGAAGGGTAGCACGTCGACATTCGTCTGAGCGACAACTCTTCATCCATTATCGCCACCTTCATCAGTGTTCCGGTGATTGCGATGCTCATGGCATCGCAAATGTTGTCGTTTCTTGTGCGTGGCTCTTCTGCTCCATGACCGGAAACACACATTCCTCTTGTGCGATTGCTTGGTGTGTTCGCATCTGTGCGTTGCAATGTGCTCGGGTAGGGAGTTCTTGTCAAGATCTTCATCGTCATCGCCGTCGTCGTCTTTCCTGCTTGGGACGTTCTATTCTTGTTGGATCTCCGTCCCCATCGAACGAACGGCTGTCTGACAGATTTATTGACGTGGTCCCTCGCATATAGTTGTTGTTATTTCTATTCCTTTATATTTTCATTTTATTGCCAGTTATTATTGACTAACGGACTCACATATACACAAATGCTGCTGATCAAGTCATTGTTTCTCCATTATCGACATGCCTTTATTAGTCCGTCTCTGTATAACTTTTTCCCGTATGAATCGATTTTTTACTAAGTTCTTCTCATCAGTGTTTTACTTGCTAGTTTTTCACTGACGTGGAGGGGAATGGAGGTGGCATTGGTCCATAACAAAGTGGTTTGTTCAACAGACGAAAGAATTTCAATGTTATGGTAGAATGCCGCCCCGTTACATATTCAGTTACACACTCGTTTTTTTTTTAAATCATCACCGCCACCTTGCTTCGTCTTACATGTTCACTTCTGCTCAGTAGGTGTTCAAAAAAAGCAGCACCTCGCCTCCCTTCTCCATCATCAGTTGGCTAGCAGCTATTTTAGGTGAGCCCCTGGGGCCCAGTTTAGTCCCACTGCTGGACTAGCCGTCTTTCCGCGCGCAGCCTCTCCATTTTAACTCTGCCACACCCATGCACACTTGTTTTACATCATCTATTGATTTCTGCTAGGCATTAAACAATTTAATTTGAGCTTCGATTCATGTTGCAGTTTAAGTGATTTCTTGTATTGTTGCGTTAAATGGCATTATGAAGATTATTTCGTTTCAAACTGTTTGTTATTTGTATGTGTAGAGTAGATGTATGTACCAGTTGGGCCGCCCGGTTTACGCCGGGCCCTCATTCCTTACACTTATTAATCAGTTAAAAATGCTCCCCCCCCCCTCCTTAAGTGAAGAAATTTAGAGGAATGTAGGATAGAGCTGGGTTTTCCATATCACTCCCTTATCGTAATCATAAACTTTTGCGGACGGACACACCGACATACCGACATACCGATATACTGACATACCGACAAACACCCAAACTGACAAACCGACACACCAAGTTTCTGCTTTATAAATGAAAGAGATAGTTCTGGAGAACGGCAACTGTTCCATTACAGAGTGTCGGCCAAAAGAGTAGTGATAGTTGTTCGATCCCGTTAGTGATACGGAAATAGATTCGATTCAAGATCTGTCGAAATTTTGGAGCATGAGCTTGCAAGTGTGACGAACCTCGCCTTATGGGATCAGCTGCCCAATCTGTGCTGCAAAATGGAGAAAAGCGGCTAGCGAAAAGGGGAATGGGCTTTCGTTCAGTACCATGGCTGGGGGTGTATGCGTTCATATAATACCAGTCAGATCGTCAAGCTTGCGTCTCGCTTCCCACCTTTGACGATACTGGGATGCTCACTGGCTCTGATCCAACCCGTCTTCGAATGAAATGGTACGATTCTGGGCAAGAACTTCCTGCAGGGGAACGCCCCGAACAACGAAAGCGCTACAGATTCGAAGAATGAGGTGCGGCTTGAACAAAGTATCCTGCGGCATGTGTGTGTGTCGGCGTGTGTGATTGACCGGACCTTGTAACTCTTGTTTCCGTGGAAGTAGAGCATTCCAAGTGAGTAGGAGTAAAGGCGGCAGCATGACAGGATCAGATGGTGACAGGATCAGATTCTGCTCACAGGAGGCGGGACGTGGTCGAAATAAATGTTTGGGCGTAAGTTCTTAACTCGTGATCCCGTGGGCCTAGAGCGCTTAAATTTAGCAGGAATACAGGCGGCAGGTTGGGAGCACTGACGGTAGGTGATAGGAAGTAATAATGATTAATAGGAGCCGATAAGGATCCTTAGAAAACAAGAGCCACTGGGTTTGTAAACTCCGGCGCCGGTACTTCAGTAGATGGTGTAGATTAAGAAGGGACGATGGATGTTCAGTGGTAGGGACTGACAACAACCGTTATGAACTGATAAATAGTCATAGAAGGCAAGAGCCATTAGGTCTGCAACGTCCTTCATATTATAGTGAAGGTTCGACACTTCAGTAGGTCGTGTCCAATGTGAAGGGAACAGAGGTAATTAGTGACAAGGATTCATAATGTCCGATAAGGATTGACAATGAGCCATACTAGGCGAGAGACACTAGGTATATAACGGCCTTCGTATCAAGAACGGAGGTATGGCACTTCTGTAGGTGGTGTGAGATGTGAAGGGGCGAACGTGATGGGTGAAAAGAACTGGTAACAACCGATAATGGCTGGCAAAGAGCCAAAGATGTCGAGAAACACGAGTTCTATAACACGTCTCGTATTGACGGTGGAGCACTCCCATTAGAGAGTAGGACATGACGGACTCGTAGGTACCGTGTAACAGCCATTGGTAACAACTGATAAGAGCTGATAAGAAGCCTTATTGAGAAAGAGCCACACTTAAATCCTAACGCCTCTGCCATTTACGATTTGGGTTTGGCTCTTTGATATGTTTCAATCGACAAAAAGGTTAAGTGCAGTGATAGGGACCGATTAAGGGTACTGAAGTATAAGGAAGTGAAAATAGGTTCATTTTTTGCTATTGGATTACGACCGCTACCCAGCAAAGTTTGTGACTCAGTGAAGGATCAAGGTTTTTGTCTGCTTCGATATCATTCTCTGCAAAAGTTATCTGACTACTAATAATCTGAACTGAAGAAAGTTGATGAGATCAAAGATTTAGGTTTCATCATTGATAGCAATCTATCATGCGAATCCCATGGCAAGATCATAGCCAGTAAAGCCCAATCTAGACTGTTTCAGCTCCTTAGATGTTTGTACACTAAAGATCCTGGTCACCTCATTAGAGCCTTCAAAACGTATACCCGCCCTATCATGGAGTATGGTTCAGTCATCTTCTTCCCCCATTCTAAAAAGCTGACCTCAGTTCTTGAGGCAGTTCGAAACAGTTTCATCAGGAAAGTTTTGACTCGTGTATTAGAGTTCAACTACAACAGCATACCCAAGGGGTCTGTTAGGAATGAGATGCTAGGTCTTGAGTCTCTCCTCTGTAAAAGGAAGAAGTTTGATTCGGTGACAGTTCAAAAATTCATCACAGGAAAGTTGTGCTTGAGTAGTAAGAGCTCGTTTATTCCTCTTCCGTCCCACACCAGAGGAAGTGGATTTGAACTTTTTCTCCCTAAAATCAATACTGCAGTTCGGAAGAATTTTTTCTCGGCAAGGGCTTCTTTGTAATACAATAAGTTAATTAAAAAGTTTGCCGTGCCTAGGAGCTTCTTAGAATTGAAAAACAACATCAATAAATACTATGCTTAGTGGGTTGTTTCTAAACACCATGCTCTGTATTACTCTGGAGGTTGGTCACACTTTGGTTCTCTTAGTTCTCTTTTTCCACCTTACATTTACTTTTTTTGTTTTCTTCCTTTTTTGTTGCCTGTCGTTATGTTCGTTATTAGTTCACTACCATCATTCATGGTTGTTATCAGGCTCAGTTTCATTTTATATTATTACCAGTCCGGCTGCCCGGCTAACGCCCGGCTTC